AACCCACACAAACTAGATTCCTAACATGAACTGTAGTAGCAGTTTTATTGTCTTATATCAGAATCAGAAATCAGAATATATCCTACAACATGGCCCTACACTTACTTAGCAACCAAACTTAAAGGTCAGTTTTGAGTCTTAGTAACACCATGGTCTCCTAGGCTGCATGAGGGGGTTTGGCAAAAAGAGAGAACATCATGTATAAACATTCTTTGAGGATCGCAGTGACTTTGACGCAAATCTGCACATGTGAATTCCAGTAAGGTGTCGACAATATTCCGTTGTGCATGTGCATACACATAGTGCGAAGATGAGACTATAAATGCTCTGTGGATTGGTATGTGAGTCGAGAACTTGCAAGAGAGAAAAGACAGATATCTTCTGTTCGGATGTTTCAGCGCTGTGTTACGTGTACTGAGGACAGCATGTCAATTTGATCTATAAAATAAATTCTTCATTTCCCGTCCTGGGGCAATCAGATGATCGACTGAATGTGTCCTGATTTTTGAGATTCTACCATTGAAAGCCACCACAGAACAACCAAACTGAAGTACCGATGATGGGAGCAGGGCTGGACTGGGAGATTTTCTTAGCCCAGGAGTAAGTTAGTCAGATGGGAAACAGTGATCTTTAGAACCTACTTTAATTTATATATATATATATATATATATATATATATATATATATATATATATATATATATATATATATATATATATATGTTTGTGTGTGTGTAGGCTCCCAACGAACACTTGGCAGCACAAATGAACCAGCTGCTGTGAGATCCCTGAATGGCTAACCAAAGGGTGCACAGTCCTGATCCTGATGGACCCCTCAAGGGGTACAGTCCCATCTATTGGCCCATAACCTGCCTCTCCATAATGTGGAAGCTCATGTCCACGATCATAGCGGGTTAGATGAGCAGGCACATGGATCAATACATGAGCATAGCTCAGAAGGGAATTGGCAAAAATACCAGAGGTGCCAAACACCAACTCCTAGTAGATAGAACAGTCGCTGAAGACAGCAGAACCCGAAACACTAACCTAAGCACTGCCTGGATTGATTACAAGAAAGCCTACGACTCAATGACACATGCTTGAATCATTGAATGCTTGAAGCTATACAATATCAACAGGACTCTAAGAACCTTAATTGTAAAACTCAAAGAGGTTGTGGAAAACCACCCTTGAGGCCAATGACAAGATACTTGCACAAGTCTCCATCAAATATGGCATATTCCAAGGAGATGCGCTGTCACCACTGTTGATCTGCATAGGTCTAAACCCCCTCAGCCAAATGATTGACGAGACTGGCTACGGGTACCGACTCAGGGGCAAGGCAACCATCAGTCTTCATGGATGACATCAAGCTGTATGCTAAGAATGTGCAGACATCAGGGAATCAAAACTCAAAACTCAGAGAGATGAAGTTGGAGCATGTAAGACGAAGTAAGAAGAGGACCCAGCAAAGAGGAAGTGAACTGAGAGAGCTTTTATAGGAGACAGAGACAAAGAGGGGGCTAATGAGCAGATACTAAACAGGTGAGCACAGAGGCAGAAACAAAACAGGAGCTTGGGAAAAAAGGAGAACATGAGAGGGCAGCAGAGGGCAACAAATGAAAAACTGCGAAGTAACTGACAATAATTAGAAAGTACAACAAAATAATAATTAAACCACTAAGACAAAAAAACATGGAGAAAAGTAAAACTAAACACTCAAAAGAAAACATAACAGAACCAAGAGAGAAATAGTAAAAAACCAAAGAACACAATAAATTAAGAATTAAACCATAAAAACTAAGAAACAAGGAGTAAAGCGAAACTAGATACTCAAAAGAAAAAACATAAAAGAAAACAGAAATCAACAAAGCCAGCCAAAGGAGGAGGTACAGGCCACAGATGTTAAGACAAAAAAAGCTCCTAACCATGCACGGATGGTACCACCAAAAATCCAGTACCGTGAGACTGCACGCCAGCCCTAAGGAAGGGGACCAAGGACTAATGAGTGTAAGAGCCACTATCCAGGATGAAACATCTAAGATCCATAAGTACATCAAGGACAAGGCTCCAACAGACGACATCCTCAGTGAATGTCTCAGACAATGGGGAACAGAAGATGAGATGCCAGAGACTCCTTCATGGGACAATAACCCCCCACACGGGATGTACCATTGAAACACAATCGAAGTGGCATATATCAGGAAACCCTACCAATGGCTAGACAAAGTCGGACGGAAGGACAGCACAGAGTCACTCATCATGGCTGCACAGGAGCAGGCCCTAAGCACCACAGCAATATAGGCCCAGATCTACCTGACCAAATATGACCCCAGGTACAGACTGTGCAAAGAGGCCCCTGAGACAATTGTTGTGATTTTACATTCTATTCCCAACCAGCTGGGAAATTATATTTCTATCAGGAAGTCCATAAACTACAGTTAAAAGCCTTCAGCTGATCCAAAATGCTGCAGCCAGAGTTCTGATGAAAATTAAAAACAGAGATCATATCTCTCCTATCCTGGCTTCTCTTCATTGGCTTCCTGTTAAATCCAGGATAGAATTTAAAATCCTTATAAAGCCTTAAATAGCCAAGCTTCATCTTATATCAGAGATCTGATTGTTCCTTATGTTCCTAAAAGAGCACTTCACTCTCAGTCTACAGGTTTACTAGTGGTTCCTAGAATATCTAAAAATAGAATGAGCCTGGTTCTGCTGGAGGTTTCTTCCTGTTAAAAGGGAGTATTTCCTCTCCACTGTCACTAAAACCATGCTTAGTGTGAGGGTTTCCATTTGAGTCAATGAGTTGATGCAATCAACTGGTTTACCTTAGATGGAAGACTTTGAATCAATTTGACTGTATGATCTGGTTGACCTGTAAAGTGCCTTGAGATGAAATGTGTTGTGAATTGGCGCTATATAAATAAACTGAATTGAATTGAATTTAATTATGATACTTTAAGATGGTTATTGCGCTCCCCGGTAGGGTTGGTAAAATATGTTAGTTAATCAGATATTATTTCAGCTGTTACATACTGAATATGAACACACGCCCTACTAGCTGTGTGTTAGAACAATAAATGAAAGAGTTATTTGAGCACTAATCATTGTCAAACAGTTAATTCTGCACATGCATGGAATAAATTCACCACAAGTTCTGTTAAAAATATGAGTTTATTAAAAAAGAATCATTCAGCTCCAAGTAAAACATATTTCCGTTTAACACTTTTAACTAAGACTAATGAAACAGAACTAAACTACTGTAAGCTAAACTACTATGTACACGGAGGAAGGGAAGCATGGTGAAAACCATATTACAGTTTAAGATGGATTTTGAGTTTGAAAACCAAAGTTTATCTGGAAGAATATGGAAATGATCAAATTAGCTTTTCACTAATTTAGAGAAATTGGAATGTTTTCAGACCAATTCACAATGCCAATCCATGAGGTGAATAAAACATCATTTGGCCAAATAATGTTTTATAAATGACTTGCTTAATCAAGAACCAATAACCTTTAGTCAAATGATCCTTTACCCTTTTTGAAATACCTAGCAGCGAATAGACACTTTAGGATTCCACTAAATGACTCTTGGTCATACTTGGTAATGGAAATGTAATGAGCATATGAGGAACACATGAACACTAATTTTATATCAGTGTTTAAACCCTTTTGTTAAATAAAACTTGTTCAAGCTTTAGCAACACATGTTTCTGTATAGCATAGCGTAGCATGCAGTCCCTTCTGTTAGCGTTGTCCTTACTCATCAGTAAACACGTGACATGATTAACATCATCAAATGACATATTGTTTGTTCTGTCCCTAAGTATGACAGACCTGCAAACCTTTTTGGCCATGTCCATTGGAAAGCTTTAATTTCCATCCAGCTGGAGTTTAGCAAGCAAGGCAGGCTCTCTCTCTCTCTGTCTCAGTGGTTCACAGCAGGGGTCCTCTCTGTCTCAGGCTCACAGCAGGCCAGGCTTTCTCGTCCAGTCTGGGTCTATAAATCTGGAAACTCAAGAGAAATGTGTTGCAAAAATTCTGTTTTCTAGCATTTTGGTTCTGAAAGGTCTATGATGACTTTTCTTTGAGGACTCTGGAGATCCGGGTCTTTTGGGGCCCAGATCCCCATCCTGCCTGAGATGGACCCCAGCTTCATGGGCAAGGGAGAGGAGGCAAAGAGCAGGAGGCAAAGAGAAAGAGAATCTGGTTTTCTCTGTGGTTTTGTACCTTCTCACAGGAAGGGGGGCTGTTGGTCACACCTCTGTGGGTGGTCCTGTGGAGGCCTTGGCTGAAAGGAGGGGGGTTCCAAGAGGTCCCCCAGCTGTTATTCACCAGCTGCATCTTCTCCTCTGGTCATCATATCAAGATGAAATATGGACACTGGTTCCCAATGTCCAAAAACCATGATCATGGCATATGGCACAATACAATGAAAAAAAGCTTACAAGGAGCATCTGTGCAGAGTAGGGGCTGGAAACACCAAGATCAAAGTGAGAAACACCTCCAAAGGTGGTGGAGAATGATTAAGCCAAGATCCTGGGGGACTTACAGATACAGACGGACATAGCAATACCAAGTGACTGCATATCATGAAAAAAGAACATGAAAAACTAGAGAAATACAAGAAAGAAAAAGAAACAGGAAGGTTTGCTAACAGGCAGCCAAGATGGCTGCTGCTAAAACTGTCAGTGTTGTTCTGTGACCATGAAGCCTGAGCTGTTTCAAGCTGTCGCTCAGCTTTTCTGTTTTTCTACATCACTGTGGTTCAATGGAGCTTCTAACCAAAGCATAGACACAGCAGGTCTGCAGCTGAACCAGGACCTGAAGAGACTGAATAGATTATCTGTGGTGGCAAACACAGGACATTGATGTGGAGAGCAGATTTTCATCAGATGATGACATCACTGTTTGTTCATCATTTTTTTGATCTGTGTTTGTCATCCAGATTGTCTGATTTCATTAGAACTGACTTTATTTATCCTTTATTTACAGACTTGGAGGCTGTTCTCTCTCTGAGGCTGAATGTGAAGTTGTGGTCTCAGCTCTTAAGTCCAACCTTCATCTGACAGAAGTGGAAATAGAGACGATCTATGGATATAGATCCTTGGGAGATTCTGATATGAAGCATCTGTGTGATATACTGGAGAGTTCAATCTGCAAAGTGAAGAAACTGCAGTGAGTTTTCTCTGTTTATTCAAACCAAATCATTCACTGATACTTTAATGCTGATTTTAATTAATTTAATTGTAATTTTTTTTTTCAAAAACAGCTACTGTCTAAATTCATAATACAATTTCTCAGGCTTTTTACCTTGTTAGTAAGTTATTTTCCTGTTGCAAATTTTCTAAATATTTAACTTTATTTTCCAGTTCATCAAACTTTCAAATGTTTTAGGCTAGTTAATTAATGATGGAGATGTTTCAGTTTGATTTGGAAAAGATTTAGATGATGAGACAAGATAAGATGGCTTTTTTTCTCATTTCTGATTCACATCTTTCCATCCAGAATGACATTTGGTTCCTCTAGAATAGAACCAGGATCACAAACATGTTAGAATAACTAGAATAAAATAAGATGATCTAAAAACTAATGTTTAGGAAGAAAAGACAAAGACATGAAATCTTTGTCCTTAAGCTGCTGCCCTGTTGGACTGGCTCAGAAAGAACATGTCCTCTTCAATCTGTCACCTCTCAAAGTAACTTGGAGCCACAAATACTTATTTTTTCTTTTCCTTCTTAGATTTGAACCCAAATATCTAGACATTCTACTCCTTCCTTTCTCCAAACTGGCTTATTTTTTCTCTCCATATTGATAAAGACAGGATGTAAGAGCTGCAACAATACAGGGAAGATCGGGAAGAGAATCTGACTTTAATCTATATCATCCTGTCTGAAATTTGAATCTAGAACAAAACTAGATCCAGTCAGTATTTTTATGTTCTCTCTATTAAAACAGTGAGAAAGGGAGCAAAATTACCCTGTTTTCTCAGCAAAGAAATTATTGTTGAAGAATTGACTTTTAAAAGTTATTTTTTAACTTTTGAAAGAAAAACATAATTTTAATTTAGTGGAACCTGAACTTTTTTTCCCTTTCTCTTTAGTAAATGAGTTCTATTGGTGTTTTCTTACACAGGTATCTGTACTTTTACAGTAATAAAGGTGAGAACTTCTGACACCTGGGTCCTCAGTGTTTTGTTCGTGAAGTTTTAAGTGGCCCCTCTGGGCTTTATCTCCATCTCAGTATGGTAGCAGCTGCTTACTGGTGTTTTCCTATATTCAGTGACCCTGGCCAAAGAGAGAATGTGTTCAGTGATGCTGTATGAATTGGCCAGCACAGTGTCAGTGAGGAAAATAACCAATGGTCCTTGGACTAGTGGTTATCACATGCCGGGGGTCACATATTCATCTAAAATCTTGTATCCTTTATTCAGATTGAAGGACTGCAGTTTGTCAGAGATCAGCTGTACTTCTCTGGTCTCCGCTCTGAGGTCTAATCCATCCCATCTGACAAAACTGGACATGAGCTTAACCAAGCTTGACCCTGGAATGAAGGAGCTCAGTGGGTTTCTCCAGTCTCCCCTCTGCAAACTACAGACATTGAGGTCAGATGTAGTATATTTCTGTATTCTAATAACATTACAGTACAAATATGAGTGTGAAGGTAAATCAGTGATCTATTAAAGAATCAACAGGCTGCTTGATTGGGGAGTGGTGGCCCATTATTTAGAGCAGTGTGATTGTTTTCTATTGAATGAGGCAGGAAGCCAGTGGAGTTAACACTAAAAGTCCCAGAGATACGAGAACTTTCGTCAGCCTCGAGTCCCCCCGCAGTACTTATCAACTCATGAATCCCTTTTCGGATATAAATGCCCCATTAGCACTGTGGCTGGAGAACAAATCCACCCCCTTCAGTTTCGGTTTCAGCTAAAGTATCTCTCTTTGAGTGTTTTACCTGAGAGTAGGGGGGAAAAATCATATTTGTAATTAAATATAACTAGGTCTACGTCATCAGTGTCGCCTACACCGCAATGATTTAAGCGCAGCCAACCATGCAGTGATCAGACGATAACTGAACTGTACAATGAAAATAGTTGCATCAGCTGGAAAGCTGTAGAAAGCAACAATATTTATACAATAATGACCGTTTATACGATAATGACCATTATTTATTTGGGGGAAAATATAACTCAGAAGATCTCTCTTCCGCTGCAGACTCGCAGCCAGCATCGCAAGACTGCAGTAAAGTTGGCAAAAATATTAACAGATTTGGCTTTTCCAGATGAATAACTCGGCGAATTATTTATTCTACAAAACAGACACCAGAGCAACCGTCACCAAGGAGAGGGGGATTATTATCACATTCATTGGATTCGAAAATAATACTTTTCTGAGGAATTTCCAAAAGCCTAAATGACAAATGGCACCTCTATTCTATTATTGGAATAAGTATAAAATGAGCAATGACTGCACTATAGACCATTGTACTGCCTCCAAACTTGTAGGATACATAGATAACCTCATGTGGATCATACTACAACTCCTACTTTGGGAAGATAGGCCAAACATTATTTTTGGAGATTTATTCATTGTTATTTTAAGCATATAATAGCCAATAATTACTTGAGACTTTGACAGATTTATTTTGTTGTTTTGTATACATGTGTAAACAAAAATAAATTTTGTTTAGAACAGCTCTAGACAATTTCATATTTTAAAGTTCAGTCTTGAAAACAGTAATAGATACATTAAAAGAAATATGTCATAATGGGTTCTCTTAGAGTAAAGCCCAAGATGCAGAACACACACAGAGGCACTGGTAAAAAGTCCAAAGAGTTTATTTAAGGCACAAGCACGAGAATAACAGTTCAGGCAGGGGGCTGGTTCACTGGGGTTTGAGCAGGGAAGGGGAGATGGCTGGTAGCTGAGCTTCCAGCTCACTGCAGGGAAACAACAGGGGAAATCCACATGGGAACCTCTTGGGGAAACTCCACAGGGAAGTCGACAGGTATCATCCACGTAGGATTCTTGGGGTGGCTCACCAGGGCAGATTAGCTGGTTAACTCTCCTAGAGCTGCAGGCCAGAGACAGGTTGCCAGAGAGACAGTTCTTCCAGAGCTTCACAAGGAGACAGGAGGTTAAGCTCATCCAGAGCTTTCACGAGGAGACAGGTGGTTAAGCTCATCCAGAGCTTTCACGAGGAGACAGGAGGTTAAGCTCATCCAGAGCTTTCACGAAGAGACAGGATTCCTGTGAGGCAGAAACAAGGAAGAATTAGAATCTGATCTCACACGAGAGATAACAAAGATTCATCTGTGACAGAGGCTCAGGAAGCTAACCAACTAAGATCAACACTGCGGCGTGGGATCAAGGTCAGACAGGAGCTTATAAAGGAGAGGTCTTCTAATGAGAGGATTAGGAACAGGTGTGCAGGAAAGTTCCAGCTCCAGAAGACCCACAGCGCATCCTGCTGGAGAAAGAGGGTAATCTCCAGATCCCCACAGTAACTCCAAACCTAAGGGAAAAACAAAGAGAGCAGAAGAGGATCCTCGGCGCCCTCTGGTGAGCAAGCCTGAGGATCCCAACAAAATAGTTATATAAACATATGACTGTATATTTACAGTTATAACATTCTTTTTTTTTTTTTACTTTGGGAAGATAGGCCAAACTGTGTTTTTGGAGATTTTTTCTTTGTAATTATAAGCATATAATAGCCAATAATTACGCTATAGATCATTGTACTGCCTTCAAACTTGTAGGAAAAACAGATAACTTCATCTGGATCATACTACAACTCTTACTTAGAGAAGATAGGCCAAACTGATTTTTTGGGATTTTGTCTTTTTTATTATAAGCATGTAATAGTCAATAATTTCACTATAGATCATTGTACTGCCTCCAAACATAGATAACCTCATCAAATTCACACTACAACCGTTACTTTGGGAAAATGTGCTAAACTCAATGTTTTTTTTTCATTGTTACAAGCATATAAAAAGCCAAGAATTAATTATGACTTAGAGACCTAGATTTATTTTGTAATTTTGTATACACAAGAGTAAACAAAAAGAAATTTCAATTAGAAGAGCTCTAGACAATTTCATATTTTAAAGTGCAGCCTTGAAAACAGAAATAAATAAATTTAAAAATTGTTATATAAACATATGACTGTATATTTACAGTTCTAACATTCTTTTTTTTCTTATTTTGGCAAGATAGGCCAAACTGTATTTTTGGAGATTTATTCATTGTTATTATAAGCATATAATAGCCAATAATTACACTGTAGATCATTGTAGTGCCACAAAACTTATAGCACACATAGATAACCTCATCTAGTTCATACTACAACTCTTACTTTGGGAAAATGTGCTAAACTCTATTTTTTCAGATCTTGTCATTGTTATTATAAGGAGGCCAGGTGTGCAATCTCTGCAACAGGAACCACAGCACTGAGCGTTGTGTGCACTGCACAAAGTATACCTGTCGCAAATGCAGGAAGGACTCACCTTGGGTTTGTAAAAACTGCCAAATGGGAAAATTGTAGCTTCATATGTAATTATTTTCCTCGGGTGAAATAAATGTTACTCCAGTACTGAAATCATACTGTTTGTCATTCTCTAAGCCAGTGGTTCCCAAAGATTTTCTTCTGGGCCCCCCTTTGGATTACAACAACATGTCCACGAAAAGGCGAAACAAGACAAGATACAATTATTCTCTAAGTTGTTCTTTCTTTCACATAGTGAGCTTTGCAACAATACAAATGAGTCTGTTGGTGAATGGACAATATATATAGGCTATGCCTTGCCTTGTTGGAAAAGCATGGTTATGGCCTGTTCTCAGCTCAGGAACTAGGACCCATATGATATCTGGTTGGTAAAGAGGTTTGCCTTAATAAAAGATTTAGATATGACTTATTAAGATATTCCTGCAAAAAGGTCTGATGTTGCAGGGGCAGGTAATGAAAAGTGCTTGGAGCATGCTCTTGTTCTGATGCCAGTTTGTTTCAGCCTTATCCAGTCTCCTGTAGAAGGGCTGGTCACATCCAACCCAGTCTCATGGGAAAATGTACCCCCACTACGTTGGCCCACACTGCAAAATGTAGTGGAGGTACATTAATGGCCATTTTTTGTGGTACTGTTACATTTCTTCTGCCTATACGCTTTCTATTGTTTTACGTCCTAGTCACGTGACTTTCAAGATTCCAGCTGGGAGAAGAAAAAAATATATATATATGTCCGACATTCGCTAATTTTTTTGTGGAAAGATTAATGACTTGAGTTTGTTTTTGCATTAAAA